GTGAAAATTGCACACGCCTGGTTATTATCTTTGCCGTCACGGAGACTTTCTTTTAACATAATGAAGCCTTCCACCTTTCGGTAACAGCGCGAGAAAGGTCTGCTCGACCCTCAATGATAGCACAAAGAAACAGATTTATCACTGTCACGTTTGGTCGTGCGATAATGCCATCGCGGTTGTTGTCGCGCATTGACACCGCGCGCCGGCACGAAGGAAAGTTTGCTAATCTGAGAAGTATAAGAAGGGGAAACGAGATTCCCTACAGCGCGAGGAATCGTGGCAATTTACGAAGATAATTCCGGGCAATGAGCAGTGAGACGAGACGAGACGAGACGAAACGATCGTCAATCGGCATTCAGCCTTCGTCACGAGGAAGTGCCGTCCTACGTCGGGGATTCCTCCGATGAACGCGTGAACGGCGAAAGGTGAATGTGGGCAGACGATACGTTGGGGAATTACCGCGGAATACCAAATGCCGTTTCGCAATCCTCTTCGTCGGACTGCAATACCGCGTTTCTTCAATTTTGCTCGTGGCTCGCTGAATGATTAAATAAAATAACAATTTAATAATAAAAAAAGATGTGATAGTTGCACAAGATGTATTCATTATAATTTTTAATTCTGTGCATTATACATATACACGTACTTTGAGGAGATAAAAGAGTTTATTCTACAATGTTATCTAATATTTTAATAATTGTTTTGTATTCATAAATGCAGTTAAGATTCGCATTAAAAAGAGAGGAGAAAAATGCTGAAATTTCTGAACACATTTTTGTGACATCCGAGCCTCCTCGACGTGGTCCATCGATTTTTCTGCCTCACGTCTTTCCTCACTCGGGACTTATTTGCATGCACCTATATCTGTATCAATTTCTCTTAAGATGAGCGTATCGATGTCGCGATCCCTGGAGCGGCGAACCTTTGCTTTACGTCTAGGCGCGCTGCTCATATGCACGTGCGTAAGGCGCTGTCCCAGGAAGCGGGTTTTGTAACGTCGAGACAGGTGTTCTCGACGTTACGTCACGCCGTAGCAATTTGTCTCGCGTATACACGTACAGGGTGTCTCCCGAGAAGTTGTGTACATGTAGCAGCACGACAATCCATTTTTCTTGGGAGATTATTTAATTTCTGACATTCCTATATTTATCATCATTTTCAAATCATGTCTGATAAACTGCGGTTTTCCTCCAAGTGAAAAGCTTTGGATTTGCTTTCTCGATTTTCGGTAACTGTTGCAGTGGTCTCTTTTGCCAATTAAACCTCTGAATAAAATTTTCGTCTTATGAAAGAACAAAGCACAAATCGATCGAGCGTAGACAACGTTTCATTGAAAGATTTTTTGCAGGACACCCTGTATCTGGCAACCTGCGTGCAGTCTACTCTCCGCTCTCGTAATATCGAGATGCCGATGGAAAAGTTATATTCCGCGTGCCTCGGGGGCTTCGGCATTCCGTATCTTACGTACGCCTTGCCGTTGCAGCAATCTTAATAAAAATTTACTCGGCAACGACCGACGAGATTGGCATATTATTGAGCATAAGAGTTGTACCGAATTGACACGAGACATGCTTATGATATATTACTTCTAACATCAAGTAGGTACTTTTTGAACATTGTCGAAAATTTATTGTCAAGTATTGATGCTATCATAATGATATCCTGATGATAATTATCATTGTTAAATGTCGATGTTTAGAAGAAGTCGAAATGTAAGAAAGATATGGCTGAAAGTAGATCTTTTTGATAACAGGAGATTCAAATCGATCGACGTTGATTATTTTAATCCCTGCTGCGGAGCTTCTGCCTGAACATTAACGTTCACCCTCGAGATACCCGAGCACTATCCGCTTGGGGTCAAAAATTCTTGAAGCGACGAGTTTCTGCCGCGCTCGCGTAAAAAGTCACTATCCTGCCATCACGTCCACGTGCATTCCACGTGCGTCTGTCGAGCTCTCGAGCTCGAAAGAATATAGCGTGCTCTTACCGCGCGCACTCCACGGCGGAATTTCGTTCCCGCGATTTACCGTTGCACGTGCGCTCAACGTCAAAGGGGAATCCCGCGAGGAAGCGCGGAAGGGTTCGCGCGATATTGCGGACACGTGAGGTGTAAACGTGCCCCGCTGTTGAGAAATAGCGCGCCCGAGGTAGTCGTCTCGCGAGGTCGCCGTCGGTGCTAACGGTATATACCTTTCAGGTACGTCTGCATATATGCCCAAAGGCGAATATATACAGATATGGCCGCATTTGTAGAATCGGATGTATCGTCGCGTCGCGACGATATTAGAAGTATTCGATTATGCGCGTCGCGCGTAAAGCAAGCAAAAAGGATACTGACAGTATCATACGGTCCATGTTATAGTTTCCAATCCTTTTCCTTACCATTCAAGGCTCTTTCCCTCTTCGACGACTGATTAAATGATCGATCGACGCTCGGCCGATTGTATTTGGTCGGGCAAATCTGCTAATTAACGTAATAATCCGTGACGAATTAATATTTCGACTGCTTTCGAAAAAATAGATAGAAATCGCTCCACGATATGATATACGAACGAGAAAAGACTTTGAGCATTAAAAGAAAAAGCTAAGAAACATGAATTTGTCTCGGAATGAATGAATTTGTCTGCATTTCTCTGCATCTGTTTCAGTTTCCTTTCCTTATAAACGATTCTTGCAAATTTGAAAAGTTGATAACGGCCAACAATTTATTACAGTAATCTTAAAGCATTGAAACATAAATTCCTCAATAAGAATTGCGTGTTTCTTAAAACCTGGTTGAAATGATTCACCATGGTATGGAGAATCGTTTACGATCAATTGTGGCGTGCCGATAGCTCTATCCGAGGCTATATTTCTAGGAACATAATCGCGACGCGACACGCGGTGAAAGTGTGCGAAAAGGGGCTAAGAAACAGTGCCGGCGCGTAAAAGTAACGTATGCGTCACGTGGCGGAATTCGAGACAATGACTATGGGAAAGGGAATGAAGGAGAACGAAAGATGCGAACGGCGAGGAAGATTCATGCTAAATTTCCCATTCGCGAATATATGCACGGGGATGGATATACCCGTCCGAGAATGCCAATAACGAGTACCTACGTCAAGCGCAGATTACACGCGAAAGAGAAAACATGGTAATGAATGCCGTCGTGGCATTCATCACGGAATCATATCTAAAAGAGGCTTCGTAACGCGTGCGTAAGATGTTCTCGAGGAAGAGTACCCTTGGCCAAGCCTCAGGTCTTCCCTCGGAAAGATCTTAAACAGTTGTCTTTTCTGATTTCTGTTAATTATCTTTAAAATAATATATATAATTTATTAATATGTGATAAAATAATATTATAATGTATATTGTTATAATTAATTATTTGTAATTAATTAATATACATATAACAACAAATATTAATAAACATTGCATTATCATGGACTTATTATGTTAAAAGATTAACGGTAGAGATTTGCGCTCACTTTTCTATTCTATTTGAATAATCTCTCGTACTTTTTCTATACAGGTATAAACTTTAATTTTTCGCTTAATGTTATTTTATTATATGAGTATTTCCTAATTTATTAAATGGGATAATACCTGATATAGAGCGACGAGATGTTATGCTGGATGCTGCACACAAATCTTCAAGAATCTCGTCATCTCGCGATTCCGCGAACGATGGCGATGGCAAATGCAGCGATCGCGATCGTTCGAAATTTTGCCAGCGGCGATATTTTGCGGTAACTGCGAATTAATTCAGAGCACGTTCAAGAGCCATCAACGGCCGCCTACTCGTGCATTTCCTCAGGCGCGGTAACTACCTGCCACGTTATGATAATTAAGAAGCGAATCGCGCGGCGATTCGTACCGAACACCACGGCTATCAGTTAGGATAATCGAGTGTCACCGACTAAATTTGACGGTGTCCCAACTTCCAACACTGTGTCGGAATGGTCGGAATCTATATACGGTGAGATTCCTTATCGAAGTCGGATTTACATCGCTTACGGGTTACGGGATCACTCACGATTATTTAGGAAGCTGATAATCCGCGTGACAAAGGTTTAGATTTGAATCGCTGTGCGTATGAAATACTTTTCCATTTTACTATTATGATTGATTAGTGTTAACTCATTTTAAGATCAACGATAAGTCAATAGATAAGTAGGTATTTACTGTGGGAAACGCAAGACATGATGTAACAAAAAAAACTAAAGACAATAAGAAATGATGTAATTATTAATATACATATGTATCGAGTTAATCGCGATAAAAATCTAAGAAATCAATTTTAGAGACAGACACAACGCTAAAAAATATAGATAAATCTTATAATTTTCGCTTTCATTGAACAATGCTATATTTATTATGGATACTTAGAATATATGCTTTATATTATATCTATTTATGAATGTCTAATGAAGTCGTACACGTGGCATGTTGCAATAGCCAGTTTGCAATAGCCAGTTTGAATCAGTTCCTATATATGGTCGTCGACTATGACATGAGCACAATCGTACGTACATCAAATAATGACACGTTGTCAATTTACATAACTCCGACTCGTGAATGATAATTATCGCGTTCGTTGTAGCGAGAAGGAAACACGAATCGGCGTGCATTTCCGAGGCTGTGCCCGATTTGGTCGACGTTTCCCATTTATTTCCGCATTCGGCAATGATTATTAAAGAGATATCGCATCGCGTTTTTCCAGCAAAGTCGATATCAGGGAAAGTCGCGTCTTCCCTTTTCTGCTTTCGTAATGCCTTTGGAAATTGCCAATCGCGTCGAACGGCAATTTGTCGAAAATGATCGAAGTTACGTAAGGAATCGTCGACGCAATCGCGAATTTCTTCCCTCGCATTCAGTTACGCGGTAAGAAGATTTTTCAAGCTTAGCGGCAATCGAGGTGTGCAACGTGTAATTTTTTTTCGTGATACTATAAAGTTTATATCATAATTTTTCTCTCTGACGACAAGAAATTTTACAAAATGTGTATTTTATTTGCGCAGGTGCAGAGGCTCGCCGATTACGAGAGGTACCTGGGACAGGAAGCGAGGAGCTTGATAGACAGCGAGTGCATTGACAGCGGGGCAGTCCTCCATCGTGGACAGTTAGAGGGTGACCTTCACCGTATCCAGGAGCTATTCCCCGGCGACAACTTGCGGCTACACGAGCGAGACGTTGTCACCACGGTACGACGAGTATTTCATTGATACAAAATATTTTTTTTGTCGTTCCTAATTCCCGACGATCAGAACTTCAGTTAGCAACTGTTAGCAACGATGATAAAAACGTTTATGCAAAACATCCTACTCCTCCTTCCGTGGAGGATGTACAAATGATGTAGCGACAAACAACGGTGCTGACAAACGGTATCGCAGACAATGCGCCTAACAATTCAGTCTTTCTCACGGTCGTTTAGACGCATCTCGTTTTTCTGCGTCCCCGGAAAATGCTCGCGTGCCGCGCGGCGGTTGGAGCCGCGTATATACTCCACTTCCTTCCCACGTTCATTCGCGTATCCATCCGGACACAAGCGTATTATTCGATAATTTCTCTCAGCCCTATTTTCACCCGACCCGCCCGCTGGCTGCTGTAAACGGTGAAATTGACGGCGCGGCGTGCCGTTCGTTCAATAGAGCGCTCACTTTCTGCGTCCGCACAAAAAAATATATAGAAACAGAATAGAAACTGTGCCACCGAGATGGAGGCTGGCAATAATGACACTGGAATGACACCTTATATTATTTCCATGGAAAGCGCGTCATCCTTTTTTCGTATAACGGTAGAAACGCAGCGAAAGTTAGTATATTGTAAAGAAACAAGAGGATTCTTATTTAAAAAAATAGAACGTCACGTCTACTAAAGACTTCTTTAATCAGTAACTGACATTGTAAACTACGATTTTCTTTATAATTATAAGATCAATTTTTTTTCTTCCTAGAAGTCGATTTCGCGGAATGCAAAAATTACAAGCATTATCGTAGAAATAATAGACCGCCTAAAATTATTTATCGTATTTTGCGCGTTTTTATGTTCGGTGAAAAACATTCGCGTAGCCATTTCGAGGCATTCTTATCCCATGAAACATCGGTGTCTGTCGGTATCACTCGAAACTCTCGCTGTTAAAGTCCCCGGGCGATGCACTTTCCAATGCTATAAATGATAGCGGATAATCCATTTGACGTGTTGGGATGTATTAGTGCCCGATCTAGGCTTTTATGCGTTGTAACAACGCGATTACAATGAAACGAAGGTGGGTTACCGCCCGGTCGGGATCACCAGAAGTGATTTTGTAATGGAAAAGAGCGGCGAGAGCGAAGAATAGAGGATGTTGGGACATGTCAGGGAATCTATAAGCCCGCGTATGTTAATCCGCCCGCTCGATCCGCCGGATAGGGAGAGCACTCGCTGCTCTCGCCTATAGTTGTAGCACGCCTTAAGGCTCCCACAGACCGAACGCGTCAAGCGTCAAGCAGCGAGCAGCAACCCAATTGAACCCAATCAGTGAGGTGATATCAGCAGTGGCGTAGAAAATATCGTCTCGCTGATTGGTTACTGCTCGCTGCTTGACGCTTGACGCGTTCGGTCTGTGGGAGCCTTTAGAGAATCGTCGCTTAGCAGCCAAATTTGGTAGTGACATTTTTCGGGCGTAGCTGTTAATACTCTGCACGTGTGTGGCACGCATGTGGTGTGTGTGTTACATGACGCGATTAATGCGGCGGTAAAATTAGCATGCTCTGAGACCCTGCGAAATTCCCCAGTCGAGTCGTTACAACAAGAGCCTTAAACTCTTAGAGATAGTCATTCGCAATCAGATCTTGCTATTCAGACATTTGATATGAGAATTTTTTCTCTTTTCTTTATGAAAAAAAAATATATATATTAATTGTATTAAAATGTCAACACATTGTATTAAACTTAAAATTTTTTCTAAAAGTAACTGTAGCTATTATTAGTCGTCCACTAGATTTCAATTTAATTTAATTGTTTATTATTTTCAGAAAATGAAAAATATGTTACGTAAAAGAAACGGTAGTACTCCAGCCAGACTGACGAGAGGGCTTTCTCAGAAGGCACTGGATATTCCGGATAGTGGCTCATCGCCAATTAAATCACCGACTAGGACTTTCCTCCTGGAAACGCCAGTTCAGTTTACCACGGTATGAAAAATTTTAGGAAGTTATCAAGATTAAAATATATTTGCAAATATATTTGCTTATTTTGATAAAGATTAAGATTTTGTTAAGACACAATACTAATAATCTCAAAATCCGGATTTTAGGGTATGCAATCTCAGGAGAGACATCTCTTTCTCTTCACCGATCTTTTGCTGATCGCGAAAGCTCGTAACAGCGGGAACTTCAAGTTGAAACAAATAGTAAAAATGAGTGAGCTCTGGCTTACGGCTGGTCACATAGAAGACGTGGCGGAAAGCAGCAAGTCCGTGGAAACCAGCTTCGTTATTGGTTGGCCCACGACGAACGTGGTGGCCACTTTCATGTAAGTAGGCTCTTTTTCAAAGCCGCGTATAATTGAGTACAACAGATATCCAAATGAGATGGAAAATATCCACTAGTCAGATCTTACAATTATTACTGTTGTCACGGTCAAATTCATCCTTATAGGACCGCTGCAGCGCGAGATCTCTGGTGGGGACGTTTGAACGATCTTGTGCAAGAGGAAAGAAGTAAGGAGCCGTCGAACACGAACATTCAAGTTATGTACCACGACAACGACACGCACACCGACTACGTAAGTGCGCCCGTCTTTTCACGCGAGAACGGATACGTTCGCGGTCATGTCTTCGCGCGATCCATTCTTTGCGCATACTCGAATCCGCGGGACTCGATTATCATTCGACCTTCCTAGTAGTATTTTTTTTTCTTGAGAGGCATCTTTTATACCGCGAACGTCGGTACTGAGTTAGAATCGTCGCCGCGTATTGTGCCGGCATTCACCTTCAATCATCGATTCATAATTCATCAATGTTGCATAAAGGTATAAGCCGCTTGGATCGCGAATGAATTTCCGTTAGATAAACGCTGTCTATCGTCGGTAAACAAGGAGCGACGAATCGCGTGCCGTATTATTCATCCCTTTGTACTACCCGGCAATGAAAGAATACATACGTGCTATTTCGTACCTTGCAGTGCAAGACGATCACGGTCGACTCCGACAAGACGGCGCAGGATTGCGTGAGCAAGGCAATGTTATTGTGGGATCTTCAAGCTTCTTCAGGACCTTTCCAGCTTTGGGCCCGAACGTTCCCGGACGAGCCGCCGTATCCGTTGATAGGGCACGAACGACCATTCGCCGTGAAGATGTCGCGTCTACGACACATGCTATCGACAGATGAGGGTTTCGACCTGGTGCACATCAACAATAGCGGCGTCGATCTATGTCATTTCATCCTCAGGCCTGTGATGAAAACACCCGCGAAAAAGAACAATCGATCGAAAATAACCGGTCTATTGCGTCGCTCACTATCGTTGAATCCGCACCTCTTCGGCGTGCCTCTGGCGCGGCTAGATGAGAACGGCCTACCTAAACCCGTTCTTGTGATGCTGCAACAATTATTCGCAAAAGGACCGTTCATGCAGGGAATATTCCGCAAGTCTGCGAATGTACGAATCGTTCGAGAGTTGCGAGAACAGATCGAGTCCACGGGAGATCCTAGTTGCTTGGAGGATGCGCCGATTATAGCGGTGGCGGCTTTGCTGAAGGACTTCCTGAGATCTTTGCCGGATCCTCTCTTGACCTCCCATCTGTTTCCTCTCTGGATGGACAGCTTGGGTACGCCGAGTCCTGTCCAAACTATTAAAAGGTTTATAATTTATTTTAATTAAAATAATATGATTTTTTTAATACAAAATTTCTATGTCAGTTAATACATTTATTACTACTGTGAACATAATAATTTTAATAAGAAAATGAAACTAATTGGAAAAAATTTTTTCAGCATTTTACATAGACTGCCAAAGGCGAATTTCACGTTACTCTCGCATTTAATTTGCGTACTGCACCATGTGGCGAAGCGATCCAAACGTAATCTCATGTGCGCCAGCAATCTTGGCGTTTGCTGCGGCCCAAGTTTACTTTGGTCTTCGAACCCGACAGTGAATCAGAGTAGAGCGATCCCGACAATCACGGAAATGCTGATCTGTCACTGCGAAGATTTGTTCGGCGCGGATGTTACGCATCTACTCGGAGAAGACACGCGCAGCGACAGCGGAGCCGAGGAGAGTACTGACAGCCTTCATTGTAAGTATTATAATAACGTTATGTTAAATTATTATTAATTAATCAAAGATATTAAATAATAATCAAGATATTAAAGAACATTAAAATATATAATATTATAGAATATAGAATATTAGAATATATATTAAACGGTAAATTAAATTATTTTTAATAAAATAATGATTACAGTATTTTAATAATTACATTGTCCATTATTAACAAGTTCCTTATGGTGTAGCAGGTGGAATATCCTTGGATAGTCTGGACCTGACAGAGGCACCGCGTAGAGATCCCATGTCCCTGTCAAGAGACTCAGGCTTGACCTTGTCAGATTGCCAATTATTCATCCCGGAATCACCCGTAGGCTCGGAAGACTCTGCCCCGAATGCTCCAACGTCTACTAATTACGATAAATCTTTTACGAAGGAAGAGAAGTCTAATGGTAAAACCTACATGCCAGTTTATAGATGCGGATGGGAGGAGAGGCTGAACGGTTACGCGTCTGGCAACCATAATCATACGAACAGCACGGAGCACAACTTTAGAGAGGAAAAGGCCAATGAGTGTTACCCTAATCCGTCTCAATCGTCCAATTTCCAACGGCAAGATTGGCTACGGGCACAGCTGAAAAGAACACCTAGAACGAACAGATTGGATGAGCACGAGCACAGAAAGGAGAGATTTGGCGACAAGGACATATATGATAGGGAATACCTTAGACAGGACACGATTAAAGAAAATGTGGAGAACTGCAAGACTTATCGGAGCAGACAGTTGAACGTAAGTTATGAAATACTATCGGAGGAGTACAATAGCAAGAGCTTGCAGCAGGACATCCGAAATGCCGAACGGGTGTCAATTCACGACTCGGAGCAGGATCTAACAAGCGGTGGCGACACATCCCGCTCTAGCAGCGACTGCTATGAGTTCAAGAAGGTCAAGTCCTCCGAGGTGCAGTACGTGAGTCTGGAGTCACCGATGTCGGAGAAAGAGCGCTGTCGTCAAGCCCGCGACCGTGATTTGTACGATGACTTTGTTAGAGTAAAGGCTTCCATATACATGGAAGCGTTGAAGTATTGCAAGAGCAAGGACTCGAATGGCGAATCCGATGGTAAAGTTACATACTGCCAGGACAGGAGTCGATCAACCGAGATCTATGGAACCGCGGATGCGAACGATTCTTATAAAAGCGTAGTCGACCTTAGCGAGGATGAGCAGGAGAAAAGAACTACGTCATGGCCGGACACACCGCCGCCATTGCCGCCGAGGCTCAGACACCTGCCGCCGGTGCATATGAATCTCGAGGACAGGCATAAAGTGGCGGGTAGGTCTAGGTCTTTACCACCGCCACCGCCCTATCGACCTCCACCGCAACCTCGCGCCCCTATCACCACGAGGCATCTAGGATTCGGCAGATCCGTCGTTGATGATGAGAGCTACGTCTGAGAACGAATGGCGGATTCATACTGGCTCTTAATCATCGAATATGCCCCCCCCCCTTTCCCTCCATCCCATTATCCCGGTGTGTATAATGTCCAAGTCGTGGATTTGTCACGACAATTGAACCTAGTCGAAACTGAAACGTGCATATCGGGATAGAGAGATGGTCACGTTTAATCGCGCCGTTGCGATTTTTTGTTAAGAGTGACGAGTACTTATCGTCCTTCTTTGATCAAATTTAGAGATAGCGAGATAAGTAAGACGAAGTGAGACGGCGAATTATAAAATTCGCCGTCTATTCGTGACCGCCGACAATAGATCTTGGCCCGTGTTCTTGTCGTATTTTCGGCACTAAATGTTCACATTTAATATCTATCTTTTGACTTGAATTTTTCGCATAAGCAGACGAAACTCTGATTCAGATGGTTGTATTCAGGGCTAAATACTAAATGCTAAATCGAGGACCCGGGCCTGCGACTGTCATTCAGTGATTCAGGGTGCTTCCACGAGCGTTAATTCATACTATCTTAGTAGGCTTAATGTTCGTATTTAAGTAGCTAACTAAGCATAGACTAAATAAACGGACAATACTAGCCCCAAGACGATACTATGAGTAACTCTTTTCTTACGTAAATTACGTTTGTAAAAATATTAATGAGAGATGAATTCTCTATGAGCATCGAAGAAGTGCTGTGGAAATGCAGATGCTGTTCTTAGCAGCACGATAAAAGGCACAATAATGCGATCGACGAATATACAACGTTTTAATAGCGTCTTTAAATCGGAAAATGTTTTACCTTTCTCTAAATTATTTTTAGACGAATGCATTCTTCAAATCGAGTGCACTTTTCTATCGATGCAATGGCGCGTTTGTATATTTTAAGTTTGTGAGAAGCCAAGATCAATTGCGGGGATAATCACAATAATAAAGTAGTATCGTAGAAGAGAACTTGTTATAAATTTCCCCCCAAAAAAAACATTGTAAACTTTTTATTTCGTTTTGCGCAGTCGTGACTGGTACCAATTCGAAACTGATTTTAAGTTAAGAAAGACCACTCTTCTCGACATTATGTTTTTTTAATGGCTCTGTTAACAACGCGTTAATAGTTGTGTTTTAATCAAATTTGATTGACAGAATTATATCTCTTCAATATTTTCTTTTCCGGACGTATTTACCAGATATTTTTTTCACGCTTGCATCGAACGGGAACGAATCTTCCCTGTAACCAGCAATGATAAATTTGTTTCTTTGACAATCGTAACATGATTTACAAACATAAGATACTGTGTGCGTGGATACAATCGCGATTATCTTCTTAACGGCTATATAGAATACAAGAAGCATTGGAGTGTTATATACTATACGACCAGGCTTTTGCCGTTCTTTGTATATATTAATCTGTGAACTGTCATCTTTTATATCGTTGAACTTATGATACGAAGTGTAACACTCATAAGATATGTATACTTATCTAAATTATATATGTTATGCTATAAAAGCAAATATATATATTTCGTATTTTATACACCTATGGATTTTCTTTGATACAACCTGTCCGTTTCATTCCCAAATTATGCATGATTGTATATAAATTAATTAATTATGCTACAAAAATATTTACATTAGTCTTTCTGATATTAGATATTTCTCAGAATTGATAAAGTATTAACAGAATTTAATATGAGCTATAAATATTAAATCTGCTTCGTGATTTTTTACTATAAAATAACATTTACAAATATAAATATATAAAAATAGAAGATAATAAAAGTTAATAAAGAATTAACTCGGATGGTAAAGTAGGCAAAACTCAGGTTTCTCACCGCGAAATTCTCGGAAATTTACTCCTGATGTATCAGGAAAGCACGTTGAGCGAGGAGGTTGTCCGGATTGCAGGAGGTATTCCGCGGGTATTTTGAAATGCGAAATGCGCTGAACGACACTGGCTCATTCATATATCTCGAGAAATAAATTCATTTTAAGATTGTTATGTAATGTATCCGTTAATGCAAATCATGCTCTCTCAAACGAGATTTGACAATAAAGAGGTTTTACATTTCAGTATGCGAAACTTTCTGCCGGATTTCGCGTTTGCATAATTTATTCAAAAGAACACAATTAATAATTAAAAAATAGCAAAAATTTAATTATGCATCAGTAGAGACGTTAGAAGACAATAAAGGTTAATAGAAGAATTAATTCGGATAATAAAGTAAGCGAAACTCAGATTTCGCACCGCGAAATCTCGAAAATTTACTCCTGATATATCAGGAAAGCATGTTGAGCAAAGAGGTTGTCCGGATTGCAGTAGGTATTCCGTGGGTGTTTTGAAATGCGAAATGCGCTGAACGACACTGGGTCATATCTCGAGAAATATATTTATTTTAATACTGTTATGTATGTTTTAATGCGATTCTTGCTCTCTCAGATGTAATTAGACGCTAAAGAGTTTCAAATGTTGCTGCATAATGTTAGATAACAAGAAAAAGATAGCCGCGAATGCCGACGGGCGGCGTTGGACGACAAATTCGGTGCTCCGAAATACCACACGCGACACCAAATAAATCTCGAGAAATACGTTTATTCTAACATTGTTATGTGTTCTTTAATGCGAATAGGCTCTCTCGAATAAGATTAAACGATAAAGAGTCATAGAAAGCTATTGCATAATGTTAGATAACAAGAAAAAGGTAGCCGCGAATGCCGACGGGCAGCGTTAGGTGACAAATTCGGAGCTCTGAAATGCCACACGCGACATCAAATAAATCTCGAGAAATACGTTTATTTTAATATTATTATGTATTCTTTAATACGAGGCATGCTCTCTCGAATGTGATTAGACGATAAATAATTATAAAATGCTGTTGCATAATGCTAGCCAGCGAGAAAGAGGTAGAGGCGAATGCCGACGGGCGGCGTTAGATGACAAAGTCGGAGATCCGAAATACGATACGTGAGACCAACTAAATCTTGAGAAATATGTTAATTTTAACATTGTTATGTGTCCTTTAATGCGAGGCATTCTCTCTCGAATGTGATTAGACAATAAATAATTATAAAATGCTGTTGCATAATGCTAGCCAATGAGAGAGAGAGAGGTATAGCTGCGAATGCCGACGGGCGGCGTTGGACGACAAATTCGGAGCTCCGAAATATCACACGCGACACCAAATAAATCTCGAGAAATATGTTTATTCTAAACATTGTTATGTGTCCTTTAATGCAAATTAGGCTCTTTCGAATAACATTTTGAAACTCTTTAGCGTCTAATTACATCTGAGAGAGCAATCTCGCATTAAAGCATACATAAACAATGTTAAAATAAATACATTTCTCGAGATATGACCCAATGTCGTTCAGCGCATTTCGGAGCTTCTATATATGTACAACTTTCCGCCGAGCCGGCCGAGCACGAGCATTGCATTAATTCATATAATAGTTTCAGTTATTCATACATATAGTACATATATAAAAAAGTAATTAATAAAAACGTTATTAATTTAACAAACAATAGATAATAATATTAAATTATTATTAAGTAATAACGAGAAATATATCGTGCATTCGTTTGGCGCTTGAAAGATCATAAAAATTATGAAAAGAATTTTAGGTTATGAGGAAAGCGAGAATCTCGAGTTTGGGGTCGTCTGTAATTCCTCAGAAATTGCTCCTGTTACGCGGGAAGCATGTTGAGCAAGGAGGTTTTAGTAAATATTCGAGCAGCGGCACGCCTACCCCCACTATTACCCATCGCCATTGTGAACGGCGCGCCGGGCACGCGACGAGGATGCCCAGCCTACGGCCAATCAGAGCGCTGGCAGGTGTACAAAGAAGGGGCAGTAGGCTCCCGCGCTCTGACCAATAGCAGCGTGATTACGAGGAGGCAATGTGAGGTGGCAAGACCCGCGCTCGGAATACCTCCGTTAACCTCCTTACCTAACATGCTAGCCTGATATATCAGGAATAAATTTCCGAGATTTTGCAGTGCAAAACCTGAGTTTCGCCTACTTTATCATCCGAATTAATTCTTCTATTAACTTTTATTGTTTCCTAACGTCTCTACTGATGCATAATTATAAATTCTTGCTAATTTTTAATTATTATTTTAGATTACAGTATTCTATTAATCCAATTAATCATATAGTTACTAATTATGTCCTTTTGAATAATTTATGCAAACGCAAAATGCGGCAGAAAGTTTCGCATACTGAAATGTCAAACGTATGCAACAGCATTTTAAAACTCTTTATTGTCAAATCTCATTTGAGAGAGCATGATTTGCATTAACGGACACATTACATAACAATGT